CACCAGCCTGCCCCCCGCCAGCCCAGCCACCAGCCTGCCCCCCGCCAGCCAGCCTGCCTGGTGGAATCTCCCTAGAACTCCACTGTGATCCTGTCACTCCGACATTGGAGACCTACAATGTGACTCATGTTTGGTCACTAACGGTCACACTCCGGAGCCTGACATTTAGCTACAGAGTCTGATCCCGACTGACACTTTCAGCCGTATCTTGTCAATGCTGCTCCAGGCAGACGGGCGCCTGGAGCTGCCCCGACGCCCTGCTCTGCGTCTTGGGCCTGTGTTAGCTCATCATAGTCTCCTTTGGGTGCTTCGTCCCCCGCCCTTCCCTCCAGTTTCCTTTCCTTTCTGTCTTTGTCCTTAACTGCCTCAAAGCTAACCTCTTGCAGGTCACACTCGGCCGAGCCGGGCTGCGTGCTCCGCCCACCCTGTCTTCACTCATAAACCAGCTCTGTCTGAGACCCAGGCTCAGAGCAGTAAGCCCTGATCTGGTTTTCAGTCCAATCGCTTACTAGCAACATGGTTCTGAGCGAGTGCCTGTATTTCTTCGTCTCCCTCTCCTTGTCTCTAGAATGCAAATGCAGAATGATTTTCACAGGCTGTTTGGAAGAGTAATTGCGATGATGTATGAACTTGGTACTTGGAAGCACTCTAAGTGATAGTTACTGTTATTACTAGTTATTTTGTGATAATTATGTCGTCGGCTGGGGGAGGGCACGTGATGCTGGTGCACTGTTGGCCCCTGCGTGGTTCTGTGGAAGTCGTCTGTCCAGGCCTCCAGCCCCGGGGCTCCCACGCAGCCATATGCGCACTCTCCCGTTGCCAGGTGCGGTTCTGGCGCTTGGCCGTGATGGCAGCCATGAGGCCTGAGTGGGAATGTACATCTGGGAAAGGGCTGGAACGGGAAAGCAGCGGTACCTGTTCCCCTTTGCAAGTAGCTGTAAAATTAGGCGAAAAACACGACTGACACGAGTGAGACTGTGTCTTCACATGGGGTCCCCCGCTGAGCTCAGGGAGGAGAGGGGCTGAGGGGCTGATGCTGACAGTGTTGTCTTTTCATATTGTATTTGTTGCAAATGATTTTCAGTGATTCTTTTGCCAACCTCGAAACAAAATACTCTGCCTGGATCCCAGGCCGGAGAGTCACACGGACTTGTGGGTCTGAAGGGGGACAGGACACTGTCACTAGGGGAGGGGTCACAGGCTCTGGGTTCAGGGGGCACGTGAAGAGTCTGGGTTTCCTGGAGATGAACACGCTTGCAGAGACCCAGGCGGCTGTCAGCTTCCAGAGGGAACGAGTCCGTGAGCTAGCAGCGCCCGAGCTAGGACTCGGCTGTGGGTGAGCTCACAGCGTGGAAGCTGGGACTGGACGACTGGCCCATGCCTCTGGCCGGCCCTTGAAATAGGCACTAAAATGAAAAGGAGCAGAGTGCAAACATTATACGTATCATGCGGACACTTGGCTTCAGGCCAGGGGAGAGCAGCACTGATTTTCTGTCTGCTCCGCACCGTGGCGAGGGGCCACGTCGGGTCCCTGTCACCATGCCTCTGTGTGCAGCAGTGCCTGCCGTGTTAGCTGGACGAGGCTCTTGTGACCGTCTCATTCTTTTGACACCTGGAGCAATGTTCTTCTTTCAGTTTGATTGTCTTTCCCCTGGAAATGTCCTTGGAATGCTTGACACTGTACTTTCTGCAGGTCCAAGGCCCGGAGAAGGCTGTTGTCCACGGGCAAGAGCCTTACACTCACCTGCTGAGGGCTGTGGCTACATGCCCAGGCCTGGGGGAACCTGAAATAATCGCTGTGATCTAAGTGTCTGAATACCTGTTTATAAAGTGGGTGGCTCCTAGGAAGTTTATGTAAATGTGAACACTACATCTGCTGAAACTTTAATTGGTTAATCTAGACTCACAGTACATCAAATAAGGTAAGGGCGGTGAGGCCCTGGCTGGGTGGCTCCGTTGGTTAGCGTCGTCCCCATATGCCCAGGGTGTGTCAGGTTCGTTCCCGGCCGGGGCACATACAAGAAGCAAGACTTTGTCAAGAAAAAGTTGTCTAATCTCCTGAGATCAAATAAAATATAAATAACCCAGACCTTTTAAAGGAGGCAGGAAGATATAGAAAGGAAGGCTGACGTGGCAGGTCCTGGCTCTGGAGCTTACAAAGCTGGGGTCAGAGAAATTCCAGAAAATCCAGAGAGCCTGTGAACTGTCCAAAGAGAGTAAACTGGGAGAGCAGGAGCCCACGGTGCTTCTGCACGTGAGACGTGGAAGCAGAACGAGGACCTGTCGACAGCTCGGGAGAAGCTGCCAAAGGGCCATGGCTGGCAAGCGGTGCGCTTGGGCCGCGTGAGAGACACGCTTTTCTGGGGCAAGAAAGGAGGCGTGAATAAGAGCTGAGCGATGTGACAGTTATTGGGATGTCAATTAAAAAAAATGTTTTTATTGATTTTAGAGAGAGGGGAGAGGAGAGGGAGAGAGAGGTAGAAACATTGATGAGAGAGAAGCATCGATCGGCTGCCTCCGGCACCCGCTGGGGATCCAGCCTGCAGCCCCGGCACCTGCCCTGACCGGGAATCGCACTGGCGATCCCAGTGCCCGGGATGACGCTCGACCCTGAGCCACGCCCGCCAGGCTGTCACTTTCTGTCTCGTCTGTCTGTAAACGGAATGAGGTCCTTGTGAGTCTGCTCAGACTTGAATGAACTGAACTCAACAAATGGATACTAGGCTTCAGTTGGGAAAGTTGTGGGCACGACTCTGAGGCTGCACACGGGCCGAAAAGGGCAGTGAAGAGGGACGCGTGCCACCGGCGGGGGCGCATGTAAGGCTGCAGAAGCTGGGGCTAGCCATGAGCAGAACCGGGAAGAGAGTGGAGGGGCACATGTATGTAACGCATGCTTACATGATTGTTTATAGGCATTTGACAGTAATCTGAACAGCATTGAAAAGACAACGGCTAAGTAAGTTATGAAACAACAGCTCAGTGCACAGATTTGCAGACATTAAAATGCATGAACACTAGGGCAGTAAATAGAAATCTCTACTTATTTACAGTGATATTAAAATGCCCGGCCAGCATGGCTCAATGGTTGAGCACTGAGCTACTGAACAAAGAGGTCCCTGGCTCGATTCCTAGTCAGGGCACGTGCCTGGGTTCTGGGCTTGGTCCCCAGTACGGGGCGTGCAGGAGGCAGCCGATCAATGACTCACTCTCATCATTGATGTTTCTCTCTCCCTCTTCCTTCTTCTCTCTCTAAAATCAATAAAGACATTTTTTTTTTAAAAAGAAGAGGTACAATATTTTGCATTTATAGTGCTATATTTGCTAACTTTAAAGGCGTCTCTATTCATATCCATGAAAGGTTTATATTTCCCTTTTTAAATGAGTACATATTTGTATTTATAGATTTAAAGGAGAAAGAACATGAATAAAAAATTCAGTGTTGAGTTCAGATAGTGGGATAGAGTGATTTTTGTTCTTCCTAAAATTCTTTTACTCTTTTTGTCAGGTTTTAACAATAAAAGTTTTAATATAGATTATAGATTATATAAACTTTCATTTAGAACATGACTGAAGCCTCAGCCCGTGTCTTGGCTAACGTTGTTAGACATAAACCAGAACCAATAAACACAGTGCTCAAGTGTGAACAGTGACCTTCGTCCTGTTTGCAATGACCTTGACCATCTCAACTCTGCTAAAGTTGCTTAAAGTTCCTCACGATTAGACATTTTTGTAATTTCAATCTGTTCCTGTTATATATATATACTGCTTTCCTATCTTTTCAATTGCTCTATTTTGCCTACTTTTCTGAGCTCTTAAAATATTTAGATTCTTTTGTTTTACTCTTTTGTGTTTATAATAGTGACAATTTTCTTTTACGTAATTTATCAGTGCCTACTAATACCCCATTTTTAGTAGAAATGTGAAAACTGTTGCTAATGATAAGCTGAAATGATTTCAAACTTATATATCTTTTTTCTTCTTTCAGGTAAGTGGCTGGATGGGGACATGAAGAGCTGATATTTCAGATGACAACCATGTTGCAAAAGGTACTGTTGGCACTTTAATATCACTGTAAAGGAATCCTATGGAAAGACACTGAGGTGGGAATGTAACTAAGTACCGTTTTGGTAAAAACAGGTGTTGTGTGTGTGTATAAACAGACTTAAAGATGTAACAGCTTTAAGAATAATTATGAGAAATATAATGTGTGATGGGGCTTTTCTGTCTGTAGTGTAGGAAACTACTTTCAGCATTATCTGGGAATGAAAGATAAATCGATTATCTTGTCAACATATTCACTGGTGGGCAGAGGGAGGTGGGAAGAAATTGGGGGCAGCAGACACAATGGACACGTTGTCATTGGGACACAGTCATCTTTTTCCCCTATGGTTTCTCTTATGGTTTATTTTCTGTGACCAAAACACCATCTCAGAACCATTCATAATACTGATTCCTGTAAACTTGTCAATAATGCAGTTGGATTCTGGATAATCAAATGGATTGTATCAGTGTGGAGAATTCTCCTGGCTCTACTTATATAAAAACTTATAAATAAGAGGAGGGAGGGAAGGAAATATCCTCCTTAGGGAAATAATAGACCATGGGACTCCCAGACCTAGATGTCAGTCACACACATGGTTTGTGGAAATCCAACTTTTTAAAAAACCATAAATCTTGTCTAGAAGGAATCTTTAAAATACCGTAGAAACCATCGTGTCTGGTGACAGGGAAACAATTGCGTTATGAACCGTTAGGTGAGCAGTGTGATGCCGTTAACCTCGGTGAGCTGGAGACCCGTGACTTTTGAGACGCCGCGAGTCACGCCCTGTGCTTGAACTGGAGGAGCGGTCACTCCAGTGAGCAGGAGACGTACCAGAGTATTGACAGAGGAGAAATCTGCTCGACTTGTTCATAAAATTACAATATTTAAAAAATGTCCTCGAGGATCTTCTGACCTCAGGGCAGGTGCCAGTGAAGAGGCTTAATTTGAAGAGAGGTTTGCAAAAGAGTTGGTGAAATCATTTGGCACCAAAAAGTTGATATTCCTCTTCTGATGATGGTCATTTATACTCTTCTGATGATGGTCAGTTAATTAGCATAAATGTTCACGCTGGCTATTCCTTTGAGTGTTAGGGAGACTTAGTTTTATTAATACTGATGCTGCACACGCTGATCGATGCGGGCTGTTTCGGGCAGGGCAGATGCCATCGTGTCCTGTTGTGTTAACACATCACAACACAATGTGCTTCAGGGGAGGGACCCGCGAGGCGCCCAGCGCAGACCCACGGCCGCCGTCGGGAGAGGCGCCCTAGAACCTGAGCGGGAAGATCTGCGGCAGATGTGGGGACTGGCTGTCTCTCTGTCGTGCAGACGGCAGAGTAAAGGAGGCTGCTTCTGTCGGGACGGCCTTCGGACAAGAGCAGAGGGCAGGTCCAGGGCTGGGAAAGGAGAGTCAGGGACTGTCAGGGAGCAGGCTGAGGAAGAAAGAGGGGTGAGGAGATGACGTCAGCAAAGGGGTGTCCTAGGAAAATGCAGCCTGTGAATGAAAGTGGAGAGAACCGGGTAGGTGGACGTGGCTGTTGGGATTAGAGTCCTGGACACGTGTAGGGGCTGATGGACCAGTGCGGCAGGAGGAGAGACCGAGGGTCCGGGGCTGAGGAGGGAGGAGGCCATGGCTGGCCGAGGACACGCCTCAGGCCACTGAGGCAGACGGCAGGTGAGCGGGTGCAGGGCGGCTATGGACTTGGTGGGGACGTCGAGGTTCAGCACTGACTTCTAGTGCGTGGCCAAGTGGCTAGGACGGCGTGAGGCAAGGGTGGGATAGGGACAGAGTCGCCCCCAGACAGTGTCCGCAGTCCATTGGTATCGACGGCTGGGAATGGGCAGTGTCTTCAGCTTCCAATGTGCTGACAGCCTGGCCAACCACGGAGGTCACCGCCTGCCTGGCTGGGAGGATTACTGAAACCCAGTAAATAATCACCCTTCCCCTGGAGGGAACCAGGCCCGCAATTGAGGACATTCATGGGCACGCCGTCTTTTCCCTTATTTTGCATGAACACATATTTCATGTGTTTATAAGGGTACGATCTGTACGAATGTGACTTAGGTGAGAAATCAGAGATTCTGTGTTGATGGAAAGATATTGGCTACTTTCTCAGGTCCTCAGTGCTGGGGTGTCTCCTAATGACGGCATTATTTTTTTAAAAAATTTTTGTTAATTATTATTTTTAAAAAATTTATCTTTATTGTTGAGAGTATTACAGGTGTTCCATTACCTCCCCCCCAATTGACC